TTCTATTCGGATCCTCAAAAAAAGAAGCCAAATGATAAAACCCCAAAAAGTTTGATACTTGGCAACTAAAACATAACAAACGTACGATTCTACTAACATCACCCATAAATTCTAAAATTAATCGGAAGCAGTATTCAAGTACTGTATAGTGTATACAGAAGATTTCCCTTTTCTTATAAATAACTCAAAAAATCTAAAAGCTTTCTTTTTTCCTTCACAAAATCACAGCTTTACTGCATTCCTTCAATACCAAATACTCCCACAAAAATCTAATTTTTCCTTCAAGGATGAACCAACTTTCAACCTCAAAAAAAAAAAAAACACCTTAATCCAACAGAATCGATGACCACCGGGAAGGGAGAAATCGAGTTCAAATGAATCAACAACATTTCACACATCAAGCGAAGGCAAAATTTAAAATCAAAGTTAAAGAAGCTAAAAAATCACTCTAAAAAAATCACAAACAACAGATTTCCCAGATTAAAATATCAAAACCAGAAAACAAATCAAAGAAAAAAAAATTGAGAAATACTTACACAATATACACTTTTGTCGCCATTGATGAAGCTCTAATTCCCTGAAACTAGCCGTAAAATCTCCTTTTTTTTCTTTCTTTTGGTGGTAAAAGTTGACAATTGGATGAACCGAAATGCCTTATTTATAGTTGTTCTGCTCCAGACTTCGAGCTGGATTTCGTCGTTAATTACCCAGTATTAATTTTCTAAATTGTCCAGCTGGACCAAACGACGCTGCTTCAGTGGTTAAGAATAATAATGGGGGTTGGTGCAGTTTTTTTCATTTTCTATATTTGGTAGTCAATTTGCTGAAATTTAGTACCAAAAATTTATTTTTTTAAATGGAGTATAATATATAACATTCATGTTCGTACAATTAAAAAAATGATTTTGAGTTTGAAGTACCAAACACTAATTATTAAAATAAAAAGATTCTTATTATTAAGAAATTAGTACAATTTAGACCCTTTTAAAATTATATTTATTATTTATTTAATGTTTATAGATTATAATTTAATATAATTTAAATTATAAAATATTATTAAAAAAAAAAGACTACAAAATACTAAACTCTTCGTGCAATGAACTAATGTAATTGATTTGCTCCTAATTATAAACAAGTGACGTTTTAAACTCGAGCTTGTCTCATATTTATCTAGCTAGAGTTGAACTTTGTATTTTATTAAATGTTAAATTTAGAAGAATTGAGCTTGGTTCCATTTTATATGGCGAGAAAGCAGACCTAGGTTGATTTATAAATTGAGGTGAGTAACGTGTGTCTCTATAAAACATTTATATAATTAATTTATGAGGTTAGTATTTCTCTATTTTATCTTCAAAAAGTTAAAAAGAAAAAAAAAAGATAAAAAATATCTTAATTCATATTTTTAAAATAAAATATTTTAATTTTTTTTAATAGACATTAATTAAAATAACGTAATTTTAAAATAATATTTCTTTTAATTTTTAAGAGATAAGACGAATAAGTATTATTTTTTTAGTTTATTAATATTATCAAACAACTTTCAAACTTTTATTGAGTTAAATATTAGATTTAATCTCATAGTTGTCAAATTAAATGAGATTAAGTGGGTGTTTGCTTTAGAATTTGATAAACAGCTATTAATTATTGTCTCTAATATTTAATAAATTATATATTTTAAATTAAAATAATAAGTATTATCAATAAATAAATATTTATTATTAACCATCAATTATATCAAAACAGTTACCCCTAATACCTTCTAAAATTAAGTTAGAAGT